CATTGTTTCCATTCTCATTAACGCCCATCTTGCTTTTAAATTCTTAAATTTGCTTGTTCGCATGCTCTTCTACCCCTTAATTCGGCACTTTACTTTTTTTGATAAACGTGTCATGTCACGCAGTGGTTTGCCATGGGTTGCCCGCTCACACAATCCTCCATTTCTGATTCACTCAATAATTGACTCACCTAATTCTTAGATTACTCTTACCTTGCTCGTAGCCACTCAAACACCGAATAACTGGAACTTTTGGACATTCATCTAGTTTTTCCTCCATTCAACCGTAAATTTAATCATTCATTTCAAAAAGTTATAAGACAAATTACTTCAATCAAACAATATTTTCATGTAGTCAAATTATTACTTTAATCCATATTTAACTCAATTCATTATTCATTCATTCATTCGGGCACCTCTTCATTACTTGGTTCATTAATGGTTTCTGGCTATTTCATTTACTTTAACTAACAGCCATTTTGCTCATTGATACATTAAACCAATTAATTTCCTAACTCATACATTGTTTTATGTACTGTTTGGCTACACGTTTGTTGAATCTCATAAAATGTCATCCTTTGTGAAGAGGAATTTCGTTGCGCTTGCGTGAAACTGGCCCATAATTTCTTTTAAAAATCGCTACCATAAAATACTCCATGTCTATTTCACAATTCACCTCCAGTTTAAATTTATCTTTTCTTTTGGTCGCTTTTGTGACTGTTTGGTTGTACGAAGTTTCAACCACATAAATGCACAATGGGCAAACGAATAATAATAATAATAATAACAACCATATCGTTACAAATGCGCATGTACACTTACTCTTTTGATATCAACAAGTTTTATATACAACATTAACTCTCATTATGCATATATGAATATTTGTCTGCCTAAGTATACACACATCGACACATGCAATGATTACACATGAATATACAAACGCATACATTTAGTACTTTATATTTATATACCTTACACTCTGGAACTTTTATAACGAGCTATTCATCCGTATCTCACTTGATTGTTTACACCAAAATGTATCTTTTTCGTTTATGCGTATACATGTATATGTGTATACATGCATTTATGTATGTGTGTATATATGTATGAGTGTGCATATTTATGAAGACTGGCTTGTAACGACGCCTCGGTTCTTTTATGTCCATAACTTTCAAGTTTGATTGTGTACTTATGAACTTCCTTACATTCTTTTGTTATAATTTACTCTTCTCCCTCATTTGATTTCCTTCATTTTCTTTTTTGTTCATGGCGCCACTTGAATCAATAATCTGAGCCAAAACCCACCGGCAATTTTTATTTTTTTATATGCCTGATTGCCACTTGCGTATTTTTCATCGCCATCTCCATTATTATCATGATCTACACATATTCATCTTTTAATTCTTAATTCTCATTGTGGGGTGAATCCTATTTTTAATTTCATTTATAATTACACCACTAATCATGTACATTTCCTATTCATCTCCTTGTTTTTGTCATATTACACTTGGCTACTATGCTTTTGATCTCATTGTCGAGGCCCTGACTCATTTTAGGGGAGTTGCCATCCAACTTCTTTTCATACCTGCCCGGAACTCCAAATCCACCCATCACTCTTTCTTCCGCTGCACCAATCTACCCCTGCGTTCATGTGCTTTATCGGCCAATCTACCCCATTTATACATGTACACACACACACACACAAACACACATATATACACATATATATACACACATATATACACACACAAACACACAAATACGCCTGCCCTTACAGCTGCCAAGCAGCGACTATTCCGCCTCTGGCCTCCAGTCGCTGAGTCCCGTCGTCCCTGCGACCATCAGCACTCTCTGTGGCACCGCCGCCAGCACTACTCCTGTCTCTTCCTTCTCCTTCTGCTCGCCCTCCTCCTACTCCACTTGCCTCTCCTCTGCCGCTTCTGGACTGGCAAGTTCCTTCATGCCCAATTTCTTCCGAACACCGCCGACTGGCCTATCGCGTTCTTTTCTTCTTCTGGCACCGAGTCAACAGGGCCTGCTTCCTGTCGCCACGTCGCATTCGGGACTCGCAGCCACAGCAGCCACCGTTTCACCCACACTTTCCGCCTCCCTCTCCGTCGCATCGAATGCATCTCCGGCCTCCTGTTGCTTCAGCCTCTCCGGCCAGACGACATTGCCAGTCCCTTCGAGCCCCTCGCAACCGTTCTCCCCGACTGGCACCAGCAGCGACCAGCGAGCGAATTCCTCAGTCACGATTACCGCCGGTCCACAATTCCCCTTTGCCTCTGCACAAATTCACCCTTTCCTACAGGCTTCCGGGCCGCCTGAACTGCCCACAAGCCTCACCCTCCTCGATCCCCACAGCCCCGGTCTGGCCGGGGCGCCGTGCGATATCGCCTTTCTTCCAGACTCCATTCTCTACCAGCGTCAGGCGCACATCCCCCACCCGACCAGCGGTGATGCTCTCTTCTTCCGGCCTCCGACTCCTTTCGCCCTATCCACGGCCCTTCTCTCGGAGGCCGGTCTTCCCTCCGGCCCAGCTGCGCTGCACCAGCCGGCCGCCGCCTCGTCCCAATTGACCGAGCTGACCAGCGCACTCTACACTTTGGCACCGACCAGCGGACGTCTGGACGCCGCCAGAGGCCTGGTCTACGGCCGGCGAGGTCGGGAGATGCCCGAGGCGGAAGTCGCCGCGGGCAGCAGAGGTTGGCAGCAAAAGAAGCCTCGACGGGGCCATTCGAGCTGGCTTTGTGGGACCGCCGAGTCGGAGGGTCGAGAAGATGAGCAGGCCGAAGCTGTGGACGAGTGTGATGAAGAGGACGAGGAGCGAAGGAGTGAGCATCGACAAAAGCAACTCCATCGAGGCCTTAGCACGAAAGAGGAGGAGAAAGAGTATTCCAGCAGCACGATTGGAGCCAATCTGGAAGGGCAAAAATTCTCCACTCACCACCACCAACGGCAGCAACAACAACAACAACATCATCATCATCATCATCCAAATTATCAACAGCAACAGCAACAGCAGCAGCAGCGATTTTCAGTTGGAGAGTCGTCGTCGTTACCAGCATCGCTGACCACCCACGGAATAACTTGGCTTCCCAGACCCGATCCTGGCGCGTTGAGTGAAGCCGAGGAGCGACGATCTCGACGGATCCCTCTGGAGGGTCTGGTCAGCCTGTCCGAGTACCCAACCCCCTGGAGCCCGGGGCTCCTCTCCTGGGCCTCCAGACATCCGGTCGGCGTTGACATGGTGGTCAGTCAGTCGTCCAGATGTGTGATGCCTTAGACACCGGTTAATTGTCCATCGTCTTTCCCTTGCAAATGCTCGAATTGGCCTCCATACTCGTTTCTGGTTGACGTGCGAAGAATTGTACTGGCATACCTTTTTATTTGGTTTATAAAAGTCTGATAGAAGGGATTCATAAATCGGCCATATCGGATACCGAGGGAGGGTTGTCTTGGAACTATGACTATTGGATTCTGCGAACAAGACCTCGGCTCACCGTCCTGCGACCATGAACCATTTGTCATGCAGCGGATATCATCGTAGCCGGAAGCGGTTGTCTTAGAAAAATCACCAAAACACAAAATCACGAAAGGTTTCGTGTTTTTTGGTGCTGGTTCACGACAGATGGC